GCAAAATATATACATAAAATGCATATGTATTAATTTTCTGTTAAATGTTTTTTTTATTTTGATTTCATATGTATAGCGTACATATAACAAGTTTAAACAGCAACTGCATTGTCGCCTACGCAGAAGCTCCGTACGTCTAGCAAGGGCAATAGTAAATTAGCCTATGCAGAGGCTAAAAAAGGCATTACTTTGCAATATCTCAGAATTGTGTGTAGTACGCATGCGATATCGGGGTTGCTTTCAATAGTGGCCTATTTCTTCAAACAAAAAAGAGCAAATCATAGTTAACTGTACAGGGGCCAAAGTTAAGTGTGCGGAAGATATATAATATTGATTATACAGATATAGTGAAAGCTTCCATCGCAGATACGGGTAGATGCATTAAGATACATTCACATGCATGAGAATTACATAAGTGCTTATGATAGAAACACAATAAAAAGCTTTATTGGTTGTGGTGTTCTCCTTAATTCAGTGTTTTGGTGTTTTTTTTTGTGTTTTTTTTAATGTTTTCATTTTGTGTATTAATTTTGGAGTATACTGATTGGTCCATTGCCAAGATTTTTTTTTTTTATAAAATCATTTTTTGGACACCAAAATCAACGTATTGTCAAAATAAGCCCATCCCGAAAAAATAAATTAGGGTGAAAAAGTGGTTCAGCCTAACCAGATTTTCTCACCATTCACAAGTTTTGTTTATTATTACCCAGTTGATGAACATTTAAACCATTTCTCCTCTATTTTTTTCAGTAGAGATTGATTTTCTCTGAACCAGGACATGCAGTATAACATTGAATTAGCCCCTGAATTGCTTTGGCAAATATCTGGATTGCAAAATGTGCAGATCTTTACCACATTTTGTTTAGCTAGGGTATATTTGTGGTGTGTTTGTCATATTCTTGGACATAAACTATTGCAGACTTTAATGTAAAAACCATCGAACCACATATTTTGCTGTTATCCTGATAAATACATTAGCACTGAAAATGCAAAGACAGTTTATAACGCAGATTTTTGTTAGCCAATTTTGGCATTTAAGTGTACATTTTTTCACTGCAGGGTGGCTCCTTGTGAGTTATTTTTATAGCAAAAGGTCATATCACTAATAATATTTTGACAGCATGTTGAAGAGTAATTAGATTTTAGTGTTTTTAAAGGGAGAACTGGTGCAAAGAACCCACCCAATGTGCTAGATGTAGGAAGTTAAATAACCAAACACTGTGATGTTTTGTACAAATAAGCCAATAATTCCTGTATAACGAAGTACTCCCTTTATTAATACATTTATAACAGCATCTTCATATTGCAGCCTTGTTACACAGGGGTTCTGCAGCCGCCATTTCAAATCCCTCGAACATTCCACCAACTGCCAACAGGAAGTAAAGAACCAAAAGAAAGGAAGTACATCATTCACAGCCAACAACTGCCCAATGCCCATACATCACAATACATACACTCATACACTCACACACTTAGACACTCAGACACAATCCAACAGTACATACATCACATCTCCTTCCTTTCTCAACAAAAGAAAGAAAACAAAATAGTAAAAAGTCAACAACAATTATAAAATAACAATTTAAAAATGTGTCCTTAATCTGCATCATTCTGTCCATCATCTTCAAGATCTACAATATTTTTTTCAGGATAGCTTATTCTATTCCTACTAGGATACCATTTCCGCCTTCTCACTGTGGAGTTTCTCTGACTATAGTCCCTTAATGGATCTTCTGGTTGCCAGCGGTTTGTGGCCCTTCTCTCTCTTGTTGAATGGCCAGTATTTTCATGACCACAGCCTTCATGGTTACTTGAACTGTGGCTTGGCAGTTTTTGTTCCTGAGTTTCATGGGGTATCTCCTCCAAATCATCCCCTATTACATCCTGAGCCTCTGGACCAGGTGTATTGCAGACTTCAGAAATGTCATCATGCCAAACACCATGCCAGATATCAGAATCTGGTTGCATAAGTGGCCCTACCCACTTTGATAGGTTGTCTGTTATACGTGGTCGTAGTTGATTTGTATGTCTACGTGTGTAACATCCATCAGAGGTTAATACTTTATAGTGTGCCGGCCGCAGAACTTCCTTTATCACTGCTTCTTTCCAACAATTCTCCTGATGATATACACGCATCCAAACAGAATCACCTGTCTGGTAACAACGGCCTGTTTTTCCGACTTGCATCTTCGATTGTTGCTGGATGACCCTTTGTTGAATCTCTGGTTTTAGCAGATCCAACTTTGTCCTGAGTTCACGGCCTAACATAAGGCATGCTGGAGGTTGTCCAGTGGTTGGATGAGGTGTATTTCGATACTGTAGAAGGAACTCAGACAAATTATGTTCAGGTCTCTTTCCTTCTGCTTTCAGACTTCTCAGAAAACCCTTTAACGTTTGAACAAAACGTTCTGCTTGACCATCATTAGCAGGATAATACAGGATAATACAGTGCTGTACGATGATGCTGAATACCGTTTTCCTTGAGAAAAGCCTGAAATTGTCCAGAAACAAACTGCGGTCCATTATCTGAAACAAGCACTCTGGGCAAGCCAAATGTTGCAAATAGTTTCTGTAATGCTTTAACAGTAGCTTCTGCAGTGGTCTGCAACATGAATAGAACCTCTGGCCATTTAGAATGTGCATCTACCACAATCAGAAGCATTTTATTTTCCACTGGTCCAGCAAAGTCTATGTAAATTCTCTGCCATGGTGATAGAGGCCAGGTCCAAGGTTGTACGGCACCATATGGCAAGTCACACTGTGCTTGTGCACAACCAGTGCAACCTGAAACATAACAGGCAATATCCTCATCAATGGTTGTCCACCATACATGACCTCTTGCCTTCTGCCATTCATTTATTTTAATAAATTAAGTTGTTTATGCCAGGATGACCTGCATGTAAAATTTCAAGAATCTGTTGTTGTAACACAAAAGGAATAACCACCCTTTCTGCCCAGATTAAGCAGCCATCTCGAATTGATAACTCCTGAGCCCTTGTTCATTACAAATATTTCCCTCAGCAAAGCATCCTTGGCTGTCTCCTGTGCAATTTCTCTGGCTGTTATCACCTCACTAAAATATATTGTAGATCTTTCTGTGGTAGTTAATTGTGAATCCAATTCAATTTTCAATGGAAGTCTAGAGAATGCATCTGCATTAGAATGCAGAGCGTTTGTTTTAAATATTTTTATTGTTTTCACAATATAAGTGCATATTGCGAACTGGTTCGTAATAAAGCCAGAGGTTGCCCATGCAGGGGCTTAAGCAGTAAGTTATAGCATTCATTAAGGTGAACGGTCGCCTACGTAGAGGCTTAAATGTTAGCACATAGGAATAGATGCAGATTATCGCCTGCGCAGAGGCGTAATGATCAGAACATATAGGCGTACTTGAACTTTGCAGGAATACATTTCTAAGCATTACAGCATAAAAGGTAACAACATCCTATAATGCGTCTATCTGAGGTAAACTGTAGCTGATCATGCAATACATGTAATGAAGTATATAGGCAAACTAATGCAGTGTTAAAAGAAATGACCATCCTATAATACAAGTGCTGATGTATGCCTTAGCTATTGATGCGATACTGGTAGAGGGATGCATAAACAAACAAATTATATTACGTGTACATGGGTTCCCATATTATCGAGAAATAAACTAGGGTGTCTATATGTGAGCCTGTTCCTTGAGCGTCTTCTCAGAATGACAGAGTTAACACATGATATATGTGACTAGATGAGCGCGGTCATTTCTGTGTTAAGATATAGGCATATTAATATACATCGTATAATACAACATTCTGGCTATTCAAGTAGGCATTAATGAGTGGCGTCAAGCTTTTGCCCGTGGGGGCACTACAACATTACATATCCATTCTGAAGCTGATGTGTATAAGTCACCAAAGTAAATGTCGACAAAGCAGTTACATAAGGAGCATATTCGTTTGTGAACTTGGGCATATTCAACACTGAGTGTAGCCATCTGGCGCGGACAGTGACTGAATGCCCAGTGAAAGAGAGAAAAAAAATAAAATTAAAAAAATTAAAAAAAAATTAAAAAAAAAAAACAGGGGGGGGGGTAAATGATGACATTAAGGGACCAATACTGGACTTGGAAGAAGTCTGATGTGGGCCTCACCCGGCAAAGCCGCATTACAACTCTTAGGTCGCCAAGCCTCCAGCCGTCTTCCCCACACCGGCTCCCGCCCATCGTCAGAGCCCCCCGTGGCGCTGTGGGCACTCAGGAGCAGAAACTGTCCACTTGACCCCCACACCTTGAGTCCGCGGGCAGTCCACTCCCTGCACCTCCCCATCGCCACCCAGAGCTCAGTGAAACGAGTGCCCCCATGTCTCTCCCGGTGCCGGCCACATACTTGGGACCAGCTCGCACTCCTCCCGGCCACCGGTCCGCCGGACGGACTGCGAAGACCTGCCCCACAGGGCTCTCAGCTTCGGGGACAATGCTTTCCGGGGACCTCCAACCCAGTAGCAAGGGCACCCACCTCTCCAGCGGGCGGGCAGTCAGTGCGGGTGACCCATCTGGCGGTCAGCAGTGCCAAAGTCCTCACGGACCGTCCTGATCCGCTCCTCTTGGTGAGTATTTATCATTCTTGCTCCATCTTTGGTCATTCACAGGGGCATTTTAGCTGGTCCTGGAAAAGGAGACGTAGGCAGGACCCCTCTGTTGATATCTGCTGCCTCCTTGATCCTGCTTGCTGGTGTCAGCGTCTGCGGGGAAGTAGGCCCGTGGTACATGCTGGGCCAGAGGTGTACGCGGTGGATGTCCCCCTGCTCACTACCAATCTTCTCCGCCTCTGGTTCCATCTCCATCCGCTCAGGTCTCCTGGCGGGCTGTTCTCCTTACAGCCTGTGCCAGTGTAGGCGAACGGCTGAGATCCAGCACGTGGCTCCCGTCTTCTGGAGGGCCGTCGCCATGCGGCCGGGATAACCCCCGCCGGCCAGAAAGGGGGGGGAGCGGGGCCGCACCGCCAGCAGGCACTGTTCGTGCATTCTCAGTCTCTCACTGCGGGTATCCACAGCCGGGTACCTCCTCTTCATCGGTCCCGCTCTCATGCTACCCGCATCTAGGCTTCCTGCAGCGTGTAGGCCGGGGATGTCAGCATCTCCCCTTCCCGGATTGTCGTCGGTGGCCCGCGGGTATCTCACAGTAGCTGGGGTTATGCTCTCCACTATGCTTGTGAGTTTGTCGGTGTTGGGGCGCTCTGCACCCGCTTTTTTGGCCACTTTCTTGTGCTCGGGTCTGGAGCTAAATCTCGTGGCTGCCTGTCAGCCCGGCGGCCCGGCCCCGCCCCCTCAATGCAGAGCGTTTGGACGATATTGTATCTGATACTGATAAGCCCCCAGAGTTAAGGCATACCTCTGAAGTCTTGCTGCCGTCGTGATTAAAATACCTTTCTGTGGGTTAAAAATTGTCAATAAAGGTTTATGGTCCCTAAGCAGTGTGAAGGGTCGACCATATATATATAAAGATGGAATTTCTTTACTGCCCATACTATTGCCAGAGCCTCTCTATCTATTTGAGAATATTTTTTTTCTGCAGCTCTGAGCGATCTAGAGGCAAAAGCCACTGGTCTGCTGTCCCATCAGCCATGGAATGAGACAGGACTGTTCCCAGTCTGTAAGGTGATGCATCACAAGCAATGTAAACAGGCTTTTCCAAGTCGTAGTGTACTAAAAGACGTGAACTATGAACTAGTTCTTTTGACTTATGGAAAGCTGAAGCACATTCTACTGTCCAGCGCCATTGTCTTTTACTCTCACAACCAAACAGGGAACATGTTCTAGCTCCCATCTCCTTCCCCCCAATGTGCATAGGGTATTGGGACTAATATAAAAACAGACAAAGTCACCCAATCTATTTGCAAAGTAGTGAATTTAATAGAGTGGCATTTCTTTATTAAGGTAACATTCAAAACACCTAAAGCACATCTCTAGCACTTCTGTTAAGTCTTTGATTGGATACTAAATAACGATTTATTTTATTGTAACCGAATTGCAAAATAGTCAACCTATGACTAAAGCTTAGTTGGAGAATTTATGCGGATCAGCACTTTTTGGTTCATAAAAATTAGCTACTCAGTGCATAAATCCCAGTGAATTGTATATCTGCATGCTCTTACTGAAATCGATGTCTTACATTTGCTATACATAATTTCATGTAAAAAAAAAATCCTTTACTTTAGCTGCCGAAGTGTACACAAAATTGTTTAACACACAATAAACAACTTAATTTATTAAAATAAATGAATAATGGGGGGGAGCTTAACCGCAGAGCCATTTGGACGCCATTTTCCATGGCTCTCCGGAGTTGACGACTAAACCACAGCAAATCAGGGGCATAAGGGGCCATCGACCCAAGAGACCCACAGCCACGTTAACCGGACACAGGGGGCTACCCACTAATGCCCTTATTCGCCCAAAAGGGCAAGAAAACCCACCATAAGTCTCGGGAGGCAGGAAGCTGTGACCTGAACACTCGACATGAAGCCATAACATGTTTTTCTGTTCTTGTTCTCTCCTCTCTTAATTATCTAATTTTCTCGATTTTACTTCAAATATGACTATTTTTCCCTTTGACTCGCTACTAAGAACCCTTTAGCAGGCCGTGACACCCCCCTCTTCATGTACTGAAGATATAGCACTTACCCTCTGCTAGCACCCCAATAGAGATCCTGGGCTACAATTGTGGCACAAAGACCACCCCACTTTATGCCCTCCCCAATTGAAAGAGGGTTGTGTAACCCAACAACCCATAGAAGTACAAAACACGGAGCACACACTCGCCTTATTCATTAAATCCCAGATCCCCTATTGGGTACCCATAGTATTGGCAGGCTCACCTCTTTTAAAACTAGGGTGCCCCTAATACTGTTATATACTGCTACTTCATAATATTGAATCTCCAGCCTAGCTAGACACTATTAACTATTAAAAGTTTTTATTTATTTTTTCTTCTATGTTTACTTTCCCTATATAAAAATGTGCAACGACTATACATGCCAGGCTTTATGTTATTATATATGCCTTTAACTTACTTGTTTACGCTGTTGTGGCATCACAAGTACATATGTTCCTGCTTATATGCACAGAAAAAAACTAAACAAAACAAAAAAAGAAATAATTGAAGAATACCTACTATAATAACAACAACTAGTATTTATATAGCACTAGTGATGTCCCGAACTGTTCGCCGAACAGTTCGCGAACGGTTCGCCCCGGACTCATCATTGAGTAAACTTTGACCCTGTACCTCACAGTCAGCAGACACATTCCAGCCAATCAGCAGCAGACCCTCCCTCCCAGTTATTATTAATTGAAGGTACTCGTTAATCGAACTCGGAAGGATGAAGGGCTGATTTGATCCTGCCAGTCATAAACAGTGACTCAAGCATTCAAGCAATTTGTTGATCTCCAAATCACGGGAGTTGATTCTCATATAAAGCCAGATTGATCACATTTCTTGGTGATGGATCCTCACTTGAGCACTGGGAAAATGCTTAATGAAAAGTATAAAGGTTTTACCTTTATTCTAGGCATAACTTCATGTCTACCACTGTGCAGATACAAATCACTTTGCAAATGTCTTTATGTGGCAACATCTTGCTACACTGGCAAAGCATTCAACTCCCTTCCCTGTCCAATGGTAGGAAAAGAACTGAACATATGAGCAGTCCACTGTCACATGCATGGTTATGTGCTTCCTTGGTAGGAATAAATGGGAGCTCCCTGCGCACAGAAAGCTGCAGCAAAATTCTATAGTTTTAACATAATTGTGCATTTTGACAAACATGCATCTATATCTTGAATACATATTCTAAATTTCCTGTAAATTGCAAACTAGTATGTATACTGCCTTCGGCGCTAATAATTCATACTCAAACACTATACTGTTAATGTTAAAAAAAAAAAATACATCTTTGAAGGTCAATTACCTGCCCAGCTGGTTTTAAAAAAAATACAGAAAAATAAACTAACCGCTGTTCCAAAGTAATAAAGATACATCAAACAGCATTTAGCTGGGATAAACATGAAAGGAGAATAGTAAAGTAAAGAGTGGGAGGCTTGGATGCAGTAAGACACAAGATAGCTGAACTTGTATTAAATACCATACAAAGTCAATGTGTAAAACAGTAATAAGTCAAAATTACAGGTTTTCTAGACTTGCTCAATAATAACGTGGAAGAGATGACACAAAGATCAAAACATGTTAGCGAGCACAATAAACTATTTTAAAGATTTATGGGAAAGTCCTGCTCGAAATATTCAGTAAAATAATTTCCATTTTGCTCAAAGTTCTTAGGTAAAAACTTTGACTCTGTTCTATCTCAAAATAGTGGTAGTGAAAAATAAAAAATAATGATACACATTATGATGGTCATTCAGTCAAGAAAGTGGGTATACTGACCGCAAGGTTTTAAGACGCTGATTTGGACTGTATATTTCGTAATAAAAAGAAGGTACCTACAATTGAATGGAATGGGGCCAGGCATGGACAGAGGAGATAATGATTTGTAACATGTAACATTACGAGATAAAGTTAACTGAAAGAAAAGGTAAGAGAGCCACAACTGGCCCATGGGTTGGGTGGGAAAGAAGATATAAAAAGGGTGAATGTTAGAGAAGGCAAGATGTAAATGTGGAAATAGAGAGAGGACTCATGTGAGAGTTTAATTTGAGAAGGCAAATATGGAATGCAGTGAGATGGATATAGAAATAAGTATTGGTAAAGGGGCGCCCAGCATCCTAAATTGTTACTGAGCTCCAACATTGCCAGTAAAAGCAATGACTGAGTAGCAGTCATTTACCTGGTAATTCTAGGAAATAAAGGAATACTCCAATCCCCAAAACATATTTATCTTTGAAGCAGAGTTTAAGGTTCAGTATACAAATTTCATGGATACGTAGACTACTCAGGTTCACCAGACAGTAAAATATGGCAGAAATGGGAAAATTACAAAAGCAATGCGATGTTGACTGTTTTAAAGGATAAAAACTCCCCCACGGCATTCCCCACTCTACAATTATTTCTCTAGTTTATTTTTATTACTGTCTGTCATTCTTTCTTCTCTAATTTGTATGGTTTTATACTGGTGTAATTTTAAATAGTTACCTGTCCAAAAAAGGCATCGAGAATGTTTACAACTAAGTTCCGTTATATTCTATATTATTATTATTTTATTATTTATATAGCACCAGCAAATTCCGTAGCGCTGTACAATGGGTGGACTAACAGACACGTAATTGTAACCAGACAAGTGGACGTACAGGAACAGAGGGGTTGATGGCCCTGCTCAATGAGCTTACATGCTAGAGGGAGTGGGATATAATGAAACAAAGGGTACAACTACGGGTAATGAAATAGGTTGCTAGAAAAGTATTCACTGAGAACTTAGTAGGTTATTTTCGACAGTTGCAGGAGAGGAGTCACAGGGGGTGAGGAGGGGGGGAATGAAATCCCGCTAACAGTTTAAATGATATGCTTTCCTGAAGAAGTGAGTTTTCAAAGATTTTTTGAAGGAGTGAAGACTGAGTGAAAGTCTAAGGGAGTTCCACAGGAAAGGTGCAGCCCTGGAGAAGTCTTGAAGGCGAGCATCAGATGTGGGAGTACAGACAGAGAATAGACATAGGTCTTTGGGAGAGCAGGGGCCTCGACGGGACATAGTTGTGTATTGGGGAGGATAGGTAGGGTGGAGCAGCATTATGTAGGGACTTTTAAGCAAGTACCAGAATCTTAAATTGAGCCCCTTATCAATATTTATATATTGATAAAAATCTAACATGGAGTCACTGTTTAATGAATTAATTTATTTACCAATGTACACATAATGTAAAATGCTTATGTTGACATGTATAACATATGTGAATGTGGATATAAGTTTGACTTCTGGCTATCTGAAAATTAAGAATTAACCACTTAACCACATCAAGGAACCACTTAACCACATCAAGGTCTATGCCATATTCAGTGCAGGGCTTTAAAGACCAGTGACAGCACAGACTGTCACGCCATAAAAGTACAAGCAGGGGTTCCGCCTCCTATACCCGTTCTGTATGCTATGCCCATGTCACCCGGTGGACTTGTGTGCCTGAGGGAACAGCTGAGAAGGCTTCAAATTTGCAATCGATAAGTACATGCTTTCAATCACTTTGCTAGCTATATATATGCTCATTATGTACTTGTATCATCGCTCTGATGAAAGC